AGGATCTGCTGATGATAATATCCTTGTAATTACACCATTATGAATATTCTCAGCAAGGACATATTTTTTTCTATTGCAATCCTTTGAAATATTTATATCTGTTGGTTTACCACTATGTCAGAGTATTTCCTTGCCCTTTAGCCTATCTCAACACACTTTCCTACAGAATAATAAGTATCTGGCATTTGAAATTCCTTGGTTAGTAAAGGAGAATTTATAGCTAGCAGATGATTTGGGAATATATGCTCTAAACAAAGCAGCAGGGTTTTTTTCCATCTGAATTTTTAGAACTATGTGACAGCTTTTAAGACACAATAGTCCAGATGTAAAGACAGAAATTAATTACCATTTCACTGCAAAAGACAATGGGCAACCCTATTCACAGATGATCATGACTGGAGTTAGTTCTTCTGCTCTCTCTATAGGTATATAAATTTTACTTTGGCTGAAAAACCTTGAAGGAAATAACTTTACTGTGAGGATTAATGAACACCTTCTGCTGAATGAATTGTCCACCCAAACCTCATCTTCCTGGTATATGAGTAGGATACTTTAGAAGGCAGTAGCATACCTAGGAACAGTTGCCATGGTTAGTGAACATGGCCCTCAAACCAACAGCCAAAAAGGCCCTTTTATCTGCCTTGTTTAAAAGCTTCAGTTTCACTAGAGATGCTTCAGAGGCGTGAGGGCTTATGTTTGATGAGAACGATGAAATTAAAAAGTGTGAGAACGAGAATTCATAATCCTGGTTTGGGTCTCATCAAAACTGTGTGTTTGTATATGTGTATGTATTTGTTTCACAAACTGGGATTTTTGATGATGCAAATAATTTCATCAAAAAAGTTCCTGGCAAGATCAATTTGACATCCTGATATGTCTTTATCACCTCATGATTTCTATTTAAAAATAAGGCATTTTGTAAGCTGTGGTATATGTGAAGCCTTTATGGGGTTTGGGTGAGTTAACACCTTGTAGTTGAATTATTCTGCACCTCTGAGGACTGAGCTCTGATTAAAGTGAATGATGGTCTTCCCCTACATGGATTCTCTAGTGCACAGTAATGTAGTTTAGCATCTTTCCTCTCCCTCAGTGTGAAACTAATCTGATCTCTTCCTTTTCTGTCCATCTGCTCATTTTCATTTATTCAATACCACTTAAGCTTTCTGTTTTCTATCATATATATTAAGCAGGACCTAGAGAGAAAGTGATGGCATCATCTCAAAGAAACCTGTGTGAAAAATAGAGTGAAATTGAACCAATGCAGCATATGCTAAATGAACGAAACCCTGGTATCATGATAGTTCTTGGCTAGTGATTTGGCAGTAAGAATTATTGTTTCTTGTAGTTTTTTCCTAGTCATCAAGGAGGTTTTGGTCAAAACAATAATCGTTCTCTTTTTCAACAACATGGAAGAAAAATAAAATTCTTGTCAGTGAGCTTTGCAGATGTCACATAACCCATGCAATGAAAACTGATGAGAAGGACAGGCTTAGCTCTGCAGAAGAGCGTGAATCACATGCTAGACTGTGCCCACATTATAAATGAGAATGTATGACACATTTACCAGTGGTGTTTGTATTTTAGGAAACAGTGACTTGGAAGCAGATTTAAACTGAACAAGAGCTCAAAATGTGATAGAGTAGCTAAGAAAACAATGATAATCTTATATCTAAGAGGGAACTACTGGACAAAACAGGCGGCATAACCACATGATGGTTTATTAGTGAAAGCTTGTATTCAGCTCATCCATTTGCACATTTGTAACAACATTAAAATGATAGGAAAGGTTCAGAAGAGAATGATGAAGAGTTAGCTCAGTGGTTTGAGCGTGGTGCTGACAACAATGACAACACCGAGGTCGTGGGTTCGATTCCTGCTTGGTTCCCATGTGTTGTCTGGTCTAGTCAAGAGGTGGTGTCCCTGCCCATGACAGGGAGGTTGGACTAGATGATCTCTAAGGTCCCTTCCAGCCTAGGCCATTCTATGATTCTATGGTTCTGTTAGCAACCTGGATAATTTTAATTCTGAGAACAAAGAAGTTCAATTTGTTTCATCTTTGGCAACATAAATATATTGCAAGATATTAAGCTAGTGCAATACTTTGCAGAACATTATCTCTGCTGTGCTGGCTGCCCATAAATATATTCTTTACCTTGTAGACAACACAAGGTTGTTTCATCTTCAAGGGGAAGGATGTTGGCTGTTTTACATTCACTATGGTTACAAGTGAACACAAGAACCACTGCTACAGAGTTGCTGATGTACTATCCTCTTGTAGCCTGGCAGTATCTGAACCTACATTGCGGCATCCTCAGTGAATTCAAAAATAGGCTAAAAGATGATGTGGTCAGGACACAGAAGTACAAACATGGGAAACTGTCATTATTTTGTGATGCCTTTAAACTAACACAATCCAGCAGCTGGAAGCTGAAGGCAGAAACATTGAGACTGGAAATCAAAACCTAATTTTCTAGAGATGTTAGATCTATCAATTACATTCTTGAAGGTGAAATTAAACATGTCTCTAAAAGCTCACAGACATGTTTTTTCTTTGATACAGGGAATCCCTTAAAAACACGTTCGATCTTATTTGTCCAAGTAGTCATATTACACAAATAATGACGTTTCCTTTTAAAAATGTATTTGTAAGACCAGAAAGTTTTAAGGCTGCTTCTGCCTCCTTAACATGTGATCCCTAAAGCCACCATGGTCACGGGAGTATAAATGATAAGAATGTATGGACTGAAAATAAATTTATGGGTTATAGGCATGCTGATTTTAAATGATTCTGGAGTTTTTAAAAATCATCCCTTAGAAATTATGATTTAATCATAAAGAAAGAGAAGAACACAGACAGCTGCAAATGAGATGAAAGTTAGGAAATGCATTCTGAAGGGTGAACTCTTACTCTTGCATGCCGGCATCACAGCACCGTATGAATTGATTACATTAGCATTCAGCTGAAATGTAAGCTTGTAAACATCTTACCATCACTGAAGACATATCTATAGAAAGATTTTCCAAGATACATATAAGATATACATAATGACTGTTTCTTTGAGGAGTTTGGGGTTGGGCTTTTTTGTGAAATATATATGAAAATACAGTTTTTCTGGCCAGTAACTTGTTTCCCTGCCGCTTAACAGGACATTGCACTCCTCAGTTCCTGTTCCTTAACAACTTTTGCTCTTGTTGATACCTTTAAAGACAGTAAAAAGAGAAGTCATCTCTCCACTTCCTTACAGCCCAAGCCCTGTCCCAAATCCCTGTTGCACTTGGGACACTACAAAAGCCCACAGAAATGACACTTCTTGTCACTTCAATCCATTGAGGAGGGGTTGAACAGAGGATCCTATTTTATCTGCGTCTTTTTTAGAAACAAGGTATCTTGTATGCGAGATCACTTTGGTTTTTGCACATGCACACACAAATACACGGATGCATACTAGAGGACTTGAAAAAAATCTGAGCCAAAATCGGACAGGATTCCATGTTCTGTCACAATCTCATTGCAGGGGCCTTAAGCAGCAGCACTCTCAGCTTTCCAATAGCAGGACCTGATTTACAAGGTTAATGGAAATGATTCATTTTGTTGAGGGATCACAAACCCAAAGCTGGCTCTGTATAATACCTAAATCCCTTAATGCAACCAGCAGAGCCACAGTTCTTCTGTCCTCTAAAGCTGATACTTTCTATTAATTCACGATACCTGCTCATTCATTTTTCTTTCCAGGCCAAGTGCTAAAGGAAGGGGTTTGTGGTTGGAAGAAAGGCAGGTGTGCATTTTCAGAAAGACAAGTGCAGAGTTCAGAAAGACAGGGGGTAAGCTGCTGGTCCCTTTGTAATCAACAGGGCTTTTATCACTGGCTTCACTTCTGGATTTCATCAAATACTTTATCATATGCAAAGTTACAATTCTGTAACTTTTCTGCACATTTACTTACCAGATCTGTACAGAAAACAACTAACATTAAAAACTGTGGGCATATGCATATTGTTCTCTAATAACTTCTGTAACATAAATTCAAAGCTCTAATTAATTGACTCCTAAGGATGAAACACTTTCATAGACAACTTATAGACAGTGCCAAGACAAAATCCTACCTGGAACTCATCAGAAATTTATGGTACTCAAAACGTGTTTCTGAACTTTGTTCTTTGGTCTGATTTTTTCCAAAACTCAGTAGAACACATGGCAATCCTACAGCTGGTTACATTTCGCTATCTCACCATGAAGGCAAGGAAAATGGAATGGAATGACTTCTGACGAAAAGGACAATGTGAACGTGATATTCCTGGACTAGTCCATTTTCTCTCTATCACTTCAAATAGGCAGTGAAAGCTGACTAATCACATTAACATTTAAGGACATCATTTTATAGTAATGGCTGGGAGATATCTTTGTTCATACCATTCTGTAAAGAAATGACCTGAACAGAAAATACACTTTCCATGTATCTCCCATTTATCAGACTAACAAGTGTACAGTAACCAGGATGTGCAGAAATTACAATGCAATTTATGGAAATCTCATAGCACAGGCTGTAATTCCTGAACTGATTAAACCAAAAAAAATATCTATTAAGAAGACTGGAAACAGTATAAACATGGTCAGTTCCTTCCACATCAGAAGAGCTATGAGAACCCCCATGTGTTTTGAGATATTTGCTTTCTGTCAACCTGTTTGTCTAGTCTATGATATTACCGAAGCAATTACATAATAGATAATAATGTATTTACGGTAAACAGACACTATCTGGCTTAAATCTGGAAATATTTATGGAAAAAAAACACATGAGCTAATTATGTATACCATTATCTCTCCATGGTGTTACATCTGAAGTATGAGAGGTGATCAGATCAGATGAAAATTTCAGTGAAGTGGACTTATGGTTACAAAATATTTTACTGAAAATGGCCTTGCTGCTTCAAGTATGGTCACAAATACTCCTTTATAAGTTGAGCATATGTAAAAAGATAAGGACACTATCTACATTTACCTACTCTGATCCCAGTTGGCTGCAAAAAGCAGAAGAATCTTCCTGCCACAGTGGTCACGATTTTCCAGCACTCCTGGGAACCCATCTGTCAGAGCCCGTTTGATTCCTGGATCATCAGCCTTGAAGTTTTTGAACATATCCAGATTTAATTGGCGGTACTGGAAGTACTGAGCGAGCAGTCTGAAGGCCTCAGTTTGGTGAAACTTTCTGGCTCGGAGAAATCTCAAGATGAAGGCATCATCTGTACGTAAAAACCCGATGTCAGGCCTCGTGATGATCATGTCCCTGACTTGCTGAATATCCTGATGCAAAATGTCTGGGTTTTCATTCAGTTCCAGACGGGCTTTCTCTATAGTCTCTGGACTAAGTCCAGCCTGTAAATGGGTCATCTCTGCAAAAACCTCTTTTCCAAATCCTTAACTTCAGATATTTTAGTAGGAGAAGTGCTGATCCCATTCACTTGATGGTCTGCTGTGACCATGAGCCATTCAGAAGCTTTTTGCTATCAAGTTGATATTTAACAAATGAAAGCAAAGTGCTTTTCTTATTCTTGCAGAAAGAGTAACAGGCAGGTCACATGCAGTATAATCCATCCAAAGGAAAGAGTTGCTTATTCCATCACTTACTAAAAGAGAAGGAAAATATATAAAAGAAAGATTAAATATATGTATAAAACTACAAGAATACTTTCCTGAAATTTATATTGAAATAAAATTGCTTTGTGTGCCTCATATGTAAGAGTATAGCAGTCAAATAATTTCAGAATGGGTAGATTTAAGATAAGGCAGTCACTGCCATCTTGTATATATGCAAGCTTCCAGAAAGGCAATCTGATTAATTGACAATTAATACTAAGCCGTATCAACTTATCATTAGAATATGTTTTTAAAGTTGTCTTACAGAAGTGTAGGAGTTTCAGCATTCTGTAATTTTAAGCACAGGATGACAAAAGCAAAGAATAATAATTTTTTTCCACCTCTAACAGGACCTACATTTCAGCTGCCTAATTATGCAGTTTTACACTTACCATGTTAACAACTGTTAGATTTGGTTTTATCACTCATACTATCAGCTTGTAACTTTCCTTGAATTTGGCCCTGAGCTGATTACAAAACTGATTAGAAATATCCCTAAATTCCACCAGCATCAGGGGTATTTTCTACTTAGTAAAACCTCACTGAAAATATTTCCCATTGAGACTTAATACATCTTCATGGGAAACTTCCCATGAATAAAGTGTGTGATTAATCTAATCTGACAGGGTTGCTAATTTAGTTGAAAAGAGATGTACTTTATTCCAAATTCTTTTTTCGTTGTTGTTGTTGGTATCTTGTAGCTTTCCTGAACATCTAGTTCTGAATTTAATTGTCAGTCCTGTACTTTACCTAGAATTTGTTTTTACAAATGTTAGAAGAGAAACTGCTTAAGCTGTTATGTATGAGCAAAATGGTACAGTGAATCTCTTACATTTCAGTGACATAATTAGCAAGAGACTGTCATCGAAGTCTGTGTAGTTACACTTGTGTGAAATAAGATCAAAGTCTCTTGCAATGTGAAGTATGTGTGAAGAAAGATCAAGATCTATCCAATTTTCAGCCATCACAAAAACAGACAAGCAAACAAAAAACCCCACTCCTTAACTGATCTCTCTGTATTTCTAAATGGAGAAAACAAAAATTTAGTTTTAAAAATTAAAAGGGAATCCCTCAGTGAAAGACATACTTTATTGTATTTGAAGAAAGCTGTTTGGAAAGTTATGAATTATTTATAGTAAAACAACCATTTCACTCAGCTACTCCCCTGGGTTCGGTGTTCTCATATCAAACAAAGGGGAGAGCAGCAGCCAGAGCATCTCTTTGTTCAGGGGTTGCTCAAAGTTACATTGCAGAACCTGGAAGTCAATCAGCACAAGGGATGGCCAAGTTCTCTGTTTGGTGAACTTACACGTCATTGATGAAAACTACATTTTAGATGCCACAGGTGCAACTCAAGGAGGAGATCCCCAAATCTGAATACAGAGAGTTTCTGCATATTTGCTGAAAGGATATTTGTAGAAGGAGATAAGCTTGTCGTTTAACAGCACTGTGCGTTGGACTTGTCTGTGGGTGATACAAAGGAGAGTTTGTTAAGCAGCCTCTTTCTGCATCCACTCTAGAGCTGGACTTGAGAAGAGCTACCTGCAAGGCAGAGTATCCGGTGGTTGATCCGCCTCAGAAAACTTGGGGAAAGGCAGGGCCAGGAAGAAAGAAGGCTGACTGCCTTTGACAAGGCCCTAGGGAGTGCAAATAACTGCAGAAAAACAAGGCCTGAAGTTTTGAGAGGTAATCTGTGGATGCCAGTTATTCAATTCTTAAAGAACAAGAGTTGTGTTAAAGGTGGATTGCAGATAGAAAAGTAACAGTTGTTTGGTTTGCTCTTGCCTTTATTAGACCAAATGAGGATAACTCCAATGATTATCAACTTAAGTCCACTCACACTAAATTGATGTAGGCTATGGGGAAAATAGGCCGGTATTTTGTGTTTAAGATCTCAAATTAGTTGTTGTCATTAACATTTTCTTGCAGAAATTGTGATTTAGGTTACAATTGCATCCACAAGCTATGTAGGGGAGCTAGGTATAAATAAGTATGACCCTATCATTTTGGGAGTGTAGTGTAGAGATTGGTTCTCTTCTTATTTTTAACAACAAGTAGGCTGATTGTGCTCAAGGCTTCTCAGCAGAAGGGTGGAAATGAGAAGCTTATTGGGAGTCTGCATCAGCTCTGATTCAGAACCCAGTGTGAACTGAAACACCTTTGGAGCTCCTGTGATTTAGAATCACAAAATCATGGAATCACAGTATGGTTTGGGTTGGAACGGACCTTTGAAGGTCATCTGGTCCAAATCCTCTGCCATGGGAAGGGATATCTTTTGCTGGATCAGGTTGCTCAAAACCCCATCCAACCTGACATTGAACACTTCCAATGACAGAGCATCTACAACCTCTCTGGGCAACCTGTTTCAGTATCTTAGCACCACCATTGTAAAATATTTCTTCTTTATTTCCAGTCTAAATCTGCCCTCTTTCAGCTTAAAACTCTTAGCTCTTCTTCTATTACTTACAGACCTTTGCAAAAAGTCCCTGTCCACCTTTCTTTTAAGCTCCCTTTAAGTACTGAAAAGTGTCAATAAGATGACAATAAGAAGGCTCTCTCTGGAGCCTTCCCTTCTCCAGGCTGAAGGACTCTAGCTCTCTCAGCCTTTCTTCATACAAGTCCAGCCCTCTGACCATTTTCATGGCACTTCTCTGGACCTGTCTGAACAGGTCCAAGCATTTGTGGCAGTTACCTGTAATCCCCTCAGTGGGTTCATCCATTTTCTAAGAGTTTATGGGAGTAAAACTCTCCCTTCCTCTGCTCCTTTTTGGACCCTCACCTCTAAGATGCTTCTCTAGAAATAAGGCAAATCATTGAAAGATCGACTGCAGTACGTTCCAGAAGAAAATAGGATTAGACCAGGGAGATAAAGCTTGGCCCTTCAGATTTTCTTATGGGATCCCCAACCATGTAATGTCAGAAACCATGCTTCTCATTTTCATTAAAGTTTCTTACTGTTGTTACCTTTTTATAATTGATTAGCACCCTTCAACACCAGGATGATCTCAAGGTGAGGGAGATAAGGTCCTCTCCTCTCAGGCATTTTTGTCAAATGCTCAGTCTAACAAAAGATACATTTTTTAATCCATTTCAGAATTTTGTGATAGTAAGCTGAGCTATAGTCACGGGTTGCAGCTTATAGGAGAGCCTCTGTAGATTATCCTGATTATCAGGTGGAACAGACTGTCCTAAAATACTTCACTGGGGTAATGTTATAAATTACAAAATAATCCAAAATATATATGAAAAATGCTGTCACTATCTGAATCATAACATAGATCATGGGGTTAGTGCTCCAGCACTGCTGACTTCAAGGGGTCTGATTTACATCAATGGATCATTTGTTACTCCCACTGCTTACCTTGACAATAAATTTAGTGTTTCATAGCTACCCAGTTTAATCGTCATTGTGCTTTCTCAAATGGTACTGATTTATTCTGATTCCCAAAGGTATAACAGAAGAACCTTCTTCATTTTCACCCCCTCCCACACATGGCAATTTCTCCTTTTCTTCTGGTATTGCGCACAGCTATGATCCATCTGACAATTTTTCAGATGTTTACATCTTTGTTCTGATTTGTGGGATTTTTTTTTTTTTTTCCAAATGAAGATGCCGGCCTTTTTTTCCCTATCTTGAATACTGTTGCTGCATGTTGGCACACTACACTCTTTGTTACAGTCCCAACAGATGTTTTTCTGTGTTGTGACTCTTTTATTCCCAAAGGACTATTTGGTCCCCTAATGTCTTTTTACAGCCACTTACAATAAATCATCCTTCTAAAGGAACAAAACCCAGCTTTAAACAGGGAAAAATAATTAACTGCAGTTTGAAACACAACATATTAATACAGAAAAAAAAAAAAGGAAATTTCCACCAAAATTGTAGTGCCACATACCATTTTGGCTTATTCATTTTCAGTCTCAACAAAACAATAACAAGGGTCAGAGAATGGCTTTAGGATGAGTAAAATAGTGAAAGTGGGATACAGTCTTCAGACAAACAGCTTATATCTTTGCATGACCCTCAAAAATAAAAGGTAACTAATAATAAAATAAATAGTAATATTAACTAGTTAAAATGAGAACAATACCTTAAGGAAGTATATATAGTACTACCCATCCAAATATCTTAATATGCTTTACTACTCTCTCTTCAATGACAGCTTCTAGATCAGCATTCAACCTCTATCTGCTCTGCATGCCCTGGAAAATTGGCCAAAACCTGCTTTCAGTGATGACGATGATGCTTGTCTGGATCATTTTACTCCTGTCTGCTTAGCTGTGCCTGAAACACCATTTTCCTCTTGAAGCACTGCTCTCATGTCCATTTGGCCCTTCCCTATACACTTCAGTTCCAGACAGACTGTAGTTGCCTCTGTCTAATGAGTGTTTTCCATTCAGTCCAAAGCTATATGTCATGTAGAATTTCATTACCACAGCTTTCAAATGGAGAAGGCACTAGGGTTTGATCCTCTCCCGGTATTAATAGGCATCACTGTTATGATTTGTCTCATTATGTAATTCCTAACTCCTAGCATTCCTATAGATATTAGCTGCTAAAATCATGCCAGAAAAGAAGGGAGTGGGCAGGGAGGGAGGGAAAATGGTAATCTAGAATGATTTCATCCTAAAGCGTGGGTGTCATCTCATTAAATTGCTTTTTAAAAAAATATTTTGATGTTAACTGTGGAAAACACCTTGGAGTTATGTTCTGCTTAGGAAGGATTGCTCCATAAGGGCAGAGGAGGATGAAT